AAGTTGTTTATAGAGAAGAAGCTAGAGGGAAAACCACTCACTAGTAATCCCACCCCGTCTTCCAACGCACCCACATGTTCTCCCTGGGAAGGCTTTGCCCCCGGCATTGCGCCGACCCTCGGCTTTCAGCCCTCGAGCAGAGCGATGCCACACGCAGACACGTTCTCCGTCCCAGATCTCCCCCCGCCGCCCGTGCGCAGCCCGGCCGCTGCCCTACCCCGTTCCCCAGCTCCTTTCAGGTGCGGTTCCTTCCCGAGGGGAGGCTGTGCGAACAGAGGTCTCGCTTCGCTGACCTCTTTTTCAGTTCGATCCACCTCATCAGGAGAAAATAGCTGCCGGCCCACCTCTGCGGGCCTTGGCAAACTAGCCTGGCTACTTCCCTTCAGCATTTTTTTTAATCTGAGGCTTCAAAAATAAAAACTCCTGTGGCCGGATCTATCTAATAAATCTGTCAAGAGACACACAAGGCAGAAGAGAGCCCAGTGCCCTCTGCCCTCTCTGAGCTGGGGAAGAAGTGTCCCTTTTGTTTTCAATTACTCGTATGAGCAGAAGACACCAAGAGCTAGAGAGAACACAAAGCAATCCGGCGGCGGCGGGGACACGGCCGCCCTCCCCAAGCTCCGCTCCCAGCCAAGAGACCCCTCCACAGGAAGGATACTAACGGGAAGGTGGCAGCGGTGGCCAGCTTGGTGTAGACGGTGGTGCCGGGCGGGCCCTGGCCGTGGCAGGAGAAGAGGAAGGGCGGTGGGAGGCAGTGCTTGTAGCAGAATTCGGTGGGGGAGAGCCCGGGCTGCGGACTCGCTTCTGGCAGGTCTGTCTTGGAGGCCACGAAGACGCAGGGGATCTGGCTGTCCAAGTAGTGTTGCTGCAAAGACAGGGAGAAGTCTCAGCCAGGGGTGAGCGACCAACCCCGGGGAGATGTGGGGCTGCCACGCAAAGGCCGAAGTCCTGCAGGGCCCCTGCCAGCTACCTTATAAATACTGGCACAGTAGCTGAAGGATCTGGGGTCGTTCAGGTCATAGATGAAGCAGGCAACATCGCAGGCTGCGTCCGACGGCTTCGCGAACTTCGTGTCGGCGCCGACCTCATACAGCTGGAGCAGGAGGGGAAGGGACGCGTGGCACAGCACCGTCTCAAGGAGATCGGCTGTTTCTCACACAGGCATGACTGCAGCCGAGCCCAGGGGTGCCGGGATGCCACTGCAGCAACGTTGGGGCACAGAGCCCAGCCCTGCTGCGAGCCAGACACGGCAGCGATTCCCTCCTCTCCCTCACTTACTATAAGGTACTTTTCCTGGCCGTTGACCTGCACCGTGTTGATCGTGTAGAGGGACGGCTCTCTTGGGTTCTCCCTCTGGGCCTGCCACCGATGAAAACACCATCTCAGACAGCGGGGAGCAAGAGCAGTGCTCGGGGAAGGGAGAGCATTTCGCACTGCCCCGAGTCCCTGTGGTGTAACAGCCACTTGAAGGCCAGCCGGAGCCCGCCACAAGACGCGGGGCCATTTGTAACAGGCAGAAAAAGCCAGCATCACCTCGGGGAAGGTACGGCTGCCCGGCAAAGGCACAGCCCCTCCAGATAGTGGGACAAGCAGAGGGGGTGGGCTCGCCGCCTTAGGCAAAATTAAGGATGCAAGAACCACAGCAACCGGCACCGCCGGCAGAGCGGGGCGTGAAGCCCTTTGCCGGGCCGCTGGGGCCTGGCCGCGGGCAGGGAGGTGCTGTCACGCAGCAGATCACTCAACAGCCACACGGCTCTGCCTCCTGCTCCACCGGACACCCTGCCGCAACGCGGCCGGAGAGGGGAGCAGCCACTCACCGCGAGGCTCCTGCCGAGGAAGGCCTGCAGGAAGGCAGACTTGCCTGCGCCCCTGGCTCCCAGCACCTTGCAGAGGAAGACATTTCTCTGGGTCTGGCCTTTCTCCAGGTCGATCCTCTTCTCCCGGGTCACTGGCAGGAGAGAGGCTGGGTGAGCGAGAGGAGGGACCTGAGCTGGGACAGGAGGGGAGGGCGTGGCCGTACCTGTGAGGGCCTGCGTCTGGGAGTCCTGCTCCGAGAGGATGGGGTAGCCCAAGTAGCCCAGGCACTCCAGGCAGTGCCGCACATCCAGGTAAGCCACAAGCCTGGAGAGACAGAGCGCACCGGGAAGCCAACAAGGTCAGCAAGGGCTAAACAACGTGACTGAAGGCGGGGGAGAGGGACTGAGCTTACGTCCACTGGCAGAGGAATCCATGCAGGGAAAGCAGGCCTTTATCAGTGGTGCATACCGTGTTGTAGAGCTCGGGGCCCCAGGGCACGCAGGGGAAGACGCTGAAGAAGTTCTGCAGCTCTGTGGGAGAGAGGGCTCCGTCCTGGTCCTGCCGAAACAACGTGGAGTCAGCAGCTGAGGTGGGACACAGCCTGTGCATGCACCGGCACCCCTCTGAAGCCACACCAAGCTTTATCGGGGTCCAGAGAGGGTCCCTGGCACACAAGCCACCCTGCTCCCTGCTGCAGAACGATGCAAGGACGCTTTCAACAGCGGAAATCGATTGCAAGCAAGGCCAGAGCTGCGTGCGCGGGCAGAGAGCCCGCGCCCCAGGGACTCCCCTCGCTGCACAAGAGCCAGGCCGATTCTGCTTTGCGATTGCAGCTGGAAGCAGCGCCAGCCCTGCTACGGGGCAGGACCCGTCTGCACTCACCCCACAGCCCTGAGCTTCCCTGGGGCCCGCCACAGCCCGCGCTGGCCCAAAAAAAAAGCCCCCAGCCTGGCCGGTCCCAGCCTGGCCTTCCACGCTGCAGGGTAACCAACCCAGGGCCTGTGTGCGGCCGCTGGGCCGCTGGCCACCAGCGAACCACAGGCCAAGGCAGCAACCTTCAGGCCGGCGTGCCACAGGGCCATGCCACAGAGGATCCGCCGGCATCTGGGCACACAGGGACGTGCGTCGACTCCGCGCTGCAATTCCCCGCGGCCACAGAGCTGCCGTACCCCAGGCGCACACCAGCATCTGAGTAACTAGTCCAAGCGGGTGCGTGCAGATCCAACGCATCCCCCTTCTCTCTCCCCAAAGAGCCAGAGCGTGGCACAAATCAGTCACTTTCTCTCCCTCTCTCCAGCCTGGCACTCGCTCCAGAGGGCTGGCAGCCGTGCGGATGCTTGTGCTGGGTCCGTGGCAGCAGGCCAGCAGCTGTGCCCGCCCTCCCTGCCACCGCGCGTGCCGCAGCCAGGCACTACGAGGGGCTACGCCGGTTTGATCTTAACTCGGACCCATCCCCTGAAGGCCCAAACTTTACTGGCTGCCCTTTGGCCAAGGGTAGTGACACCACCACCGTGCCCTTGACAAGCCATCAGACTACCTACAGTTCGCTGTGACCACCTCCTGCTCCCAAAGCCTCGGCAAGAAGCCACGAAGGGAGCGCTGTGGCAGAGAAAAGCCCTTCGCTGGCACTACCACTGCTCCCTGGAACAGAGAAGGGGGCAGGAGAGCAGCTACGCCCACGCATGCAGGCCTAGCAGAGAGCATCCCCTCCCCAGGCAGCCCACCGCACGCTGCCCACCTTGTCGTGCTTCTCAAACAGCCGCTGCAGGAACTGGTAGCCCAAGTGGTTGAGCTCTGTGGAGCAGCCGGGGGGAAGGCGGAACCTGTCGGAAGAGACCCCAGTGAGCCTCCTCGAGCCCCGAACGAAGGGCAGTGTGTGAGCGGGTCTTTGGCCAAGCCAGATCTCACCCAGAGGACACAGCTCCCCACTCCCTCCCTGCTCACAGCCGCCCGTGGTCTCCAGGCCTGGCTACTCCTCGACACAGCCCCCTCATTTTGGGGAGAAGCCCTCGAGGGTGCACAGTGGCCTCTCCTCGGCACATCCGTGCTGCCCAAGCAGCCAGGGAGACGATGCAGCCCTTGCTCTGCCTTGCGCCCAGGGCTTCGGTAGGGCACAGCACCAGCCCCGCGGTGCTTTCCACCAGCATGGGCCCTGTCGCCTCCCCACGCAGCCTGCTGTCTGGGGCAAGGATGAGGCGGCTCACAAGCCAAGCCCTTTCATTACTGCCAGATCACCACCTCCGGGGTGGCAGGGAGCAGAGAAGAGACGGCAGCTGCAGAATCAGCCGGGAGGGCTCTGCTGACAGCTCGCTGCTCCCGACACGAGTCGTTTCTGCCTCAGCTCAGGCAGAGACAGAACAGCCTTCAAAAACCCCCTGCTGATGTCAAGGGAAGTCAGGGACAGGCCTTCATTCCCCACCTCCTTGCCCACCTACACCAGAGCCAGCAGCACAGTCAGCAGCTCCAAGGCCCATTGTATTCACCAGCAATACCCCTGTGTGAGCTCCGGCCCACAGGGGAAGGTGAGGAGCGTGAACCTGACCATGAGTTAAGCGTGCGGATTCAGCCTCAGCCGAGGAACACAGTAGACCCCAGGGTGCAGAAAAGGAGCCCGAGCTGTGCCCCATGGGGATGTCACACCCTGCCTGCCCCACTCCATGGCAGGATACGCACTGTGGGTAGAGATAGTCGTCCGTCAGCTCCAGCTCGTCGTCGTACCCGAAGCGGCGAAGGATGGTCCAGGTGGTCTCGTGCCGGCCCCTCTGGATGAAGAGCGTGTTGAGGAAGAGGAAGCCTGTGGGAGAGATCGGGTGACTCAGACACAGCGGGGTCAACCCGAGCACTCAGCCTCAGGGATTCACTCCTCGGGACCACGCTGGGAAAACGGGCTGCTTGGACAGAGGACTCTAGTGGCTGCAGCAGGCTCAGGCTTGCTTTGACAAGAGGGACTAATTAGGCTTGGAACGAGGGCCAGGAGGCTCAGCCTGAGGACAGGGCCCCTCACAATGTGCAGAAGAAGATGGGTCCCTCTATCCCTTGCTGGGAAGGGGCACAGAGCCCTTGTGTCATTACCGTTCAATGTCAGGCCGTTGTCCTGCACCCCGTCTGTGGTGTTCTTCCACACAACCATCTTCACGTCCTCCAGGGCCTGGGGAGCCAGGGGGTTTCCAAAGCAGGACTTCTACCTCCCAAGAGAAAGAAGGTCATCGTCAGCGAAGCACACAGACAGCACAACCCTCTGTCTCGCCAGCATCCCTCTCCCCTGGCAAGGAGACAGTATTTCTAGGAGAGAAAATTCACCCAGCTCAGGGATTACTGCCTTAGACCCTGACCCAACCCCTGTTCCTCAGCATCCCAGTAAAGTATGACTCTCAACATCGCCAGAGCCTCCTGCTCTTCCCACAGCAGAGCAAACTCAGCCCAAGCTTAATGACGATGGAAGACCCGTGGATCCCCATGGCACGGAGACACACTCTACCGTGCTTTAGCTGCGCAACAGCAGAAGCACTGAATGCAAACAGGATGGTTGTGTCTCAGGCAAGGGGAAGCTTTTCTGCCTGGTATTGGAAGGAAAGGGGACCCCAAGGGATTTCCACAAGGGACTGGGCAATACCTCAGCTCCGTGGCTGGCCCTACCTGGAAGTAGTTGAGTTCGTCGTCACTAAGGATCTGGTTGTTATCCTGGTCCGAGAGGTTGAAAATCCGGGTCAGCGCTCGTGCACACGCAGGTTTCAGCTGCAAGGGACCAACCACAGTGACAAAAATAGGGTACCACCTTCAGCCTGACCCTTCCTCCTGCCTCCTGAAACCCCAAGTGCAGAGGGGTTCCCGCACTGGCTGGGAGCATGGTCCAGCTAGGCCAGTACCACAGCCACCTTGGAGCTGGGAATCAGAAGCAGGACAGCCCCTGGGAAAGGTTCCTCCTTGATCTTTCCCACAATATTAACACATGGTTGGGAGCACAAGGGCTTCTATCCCAAGCCCTTGCAGATCTCTGGCCTGAATATACTCAGCTGGCTGCACTGGGCATGGGAGATGGGTATTTTTTCCTCCCAGCTCCCTGTGGGGGTACTGCTGTCCCCTTGTTCTGGCTGCCTCGGCCCGACCTCTCCACCCTCCTACCCAGGGGCCGCGAGCACTGCTTCCTACCTGCTTCTCCTCTGGGTCGTAGAGGGGCGCGGTGGGGTGCAGCACAGCTTTCTGGGCGTAGTAGAAGAGCTCAGAGATGTTCTTGAGGTTCTTGGCAGAGCACTGGGGATCAAAGGAAGAGACAGGCCTGTGAGCGGGGACAGGCGATGGGCTGGTGACAAAGGGCAGAAAGAGGATGATACGAGCTCCCCGAGCCAGACAAGTTGTGGATCAAAACACAGAGCAGCATCTGTCCCCCACTAGGAAAAAACTAAAGGGAAACCTCCTGCTCAAGTTCTGGCTTTGCTCTGCCCGTTCCACTGCCCCAGAGCCAAGAGGGGCTGCGTGCAGCTCCAAACATCAGTTACAGCTAGAAAGCTGGAGCGGGCAGACATGGAACCCCACTCTCTGCGAGGAAGCCAAAGGACAAAAAGCCTAAAGCCCAGGCCCTCAAGACCCAGACAGGGGTACTTCCGCAGAGCGACATTAGCTGGGCAGATCTCCACAAGCGCGGAGGCTCCCTGACTCATGCCAGACAAGAGCTCCTACCCCTCAGGGAGGCTTTGCAGAAACCCTCCAGTTCCCTCACCTCCACGCAGGTCTCGATCTCTGAGAACTGATTCATGATGGGCAGGATGACATCCATGGAGCTCCCCACCTGCAGGTCAGACTTGTTTCCCACTAAAATAATGGGGATCCTGGGGAAAAAAGACGGAGTGTCAGAGAGCATGAGTGAGGCCAGCCCTCTTTCGGTCTCAGTGCTGCCCCAGCCACACGTGGCAGCAGGCTGGGGAGCCTCCCCACCCTCCTCCGCAAGGTCCACAGCAGCTTTCCTGCCTCCCACGGCTGGGAGCATCCATCTGGAGAAACAGACTGCCTGATCCCGCTTACGCTTTCACCCAACGACAATATGTTCAGGAGTCTTTAATCCAGCGCAGCAGCCTTCTGCCTAAGCGATCCGCACGCAGATTGCGGCTTCTGTGCTCCCATACTCCCTTGGCAGCCTCCTCTCCCTGCCTGGCTGAGAAGACATTAAGGGAGGAAGGAATCCTCTCCTGTGGCCCTCTGCCTCAGCTAGGTCTGCGAGGGAGAAAAGCCCCCCACGTCCTTCTGCTACAAGTGGTCTGACCACAAACTGCAAAGCTGATTTGATCCGAGCGACCTCTGCACGACGCAAAGGCGGCGGGCACCTCGCAGCCTCCAGAATCCCCCAATCCTGCACCCGCAGGCGCCGCTGCACACAGTACCTGGAGCCCTTTTCAACTCCTCCGTTCACCATGGGGATCCACTTTGTGCGAATCTGAAAGGCGAGCACAGGGAAAGGCCCGTCAGCGCAGCCTGGGGAGGGAGAGGCAGCCCCCAGGACAGGCGCCGCAGTAGTCAGCAGGGCCCTGCAGCCATCTGCTCCCCGGCATTCCCCCGCGCCAGCAGGAAGAGCAGACCAGGGATGCTGGATGCCGGCAGGATACGACAAACCTGTTGTCCCCAGCACGTGAGGACAACAGCCAACAATGGAGCAAGCCTGGGCTGCGCTCAGCCTACCTCTCTGGGTGGCCGCCGGGATACGACAACCCTGTTGCCCCCAGCACGTGAGGACAACAGCCAACAATGGAGCAAGCCTGGGCTGCGCTCAGCCTACCTCTCTGCTTGCAGGGGTTTCAAACCCCAAATCCCCCGTAGGGCTTGGGGGCATCAGCATCCACCCACACCACAAAGCTGGGGCAGCCTGGCGGGACCCAGCGGTGGGAACCCCTTCCCCTCCAGCTCTGCTGCTGGAGCGGGGCCACTCAGGGCTCCAGCAGGGGACCCGTTACCTTCTCGATCGTGGCCTCCTTGGTGACATCGTACACCACGCAGACCACGTTGGCCTGCAAGAAAGAAGGGGGGTGAGCGAGGGTCCCTGCGGTGCACCCACCGCAGCGGAGAGGCTGGCCAAGCCCAAGGCACAGCTCTGCCATAGCTGCAGGCCGGCCCCGCGGACAGGCAGCTCCAGCCCCACGCGATGCCGGCGCATTCGCACTAAAACCCAGCAGTGGCAGTTGAACGTGCAGAAGTACGCGCAGCCCCCTGACAGCATCAGCACGAGCCCTACAACAGGCTGCTCGGAGCAAAGGCTGGCTCCTCTGCTTCAGGAGCTGTCATGAGCACATCTGCCTCCACGCCTGACGCCCCGGTTCCCTGCTCCCACACCTCGCTTGTCCCCCCATGACGGCTCTGCCCCTGCCTCGTGCTGGGCCGGCAGCGGCTGCGCGCCCCACCGCTCCTCCGCAGAG